AGACAAAATAGCAAAGTGGATGGTAAGATACTGATAAACCACCCTGTCTCTCAGTCATCGGTAAAATTCTGGAGAAACAAAACCTAATTTCTTATAAGTGAACACAAGATTCCAAGTTTGTCTATAAAATTAAATAATTAATGTCAGTTGCTGATCATCTTTAGGCTATCACCTTTGTTAAATTTGTGGCTGTCCGTTTATACTTCTGGGATAGTATGCTAAAGTATTAAAAAGGCCAAATGGTAATATAAAAAAGCCAATGGAATCCCAAATTGTGATTAGCCAAATAACTAAAAATCTTTCTGTGAGTTCCTTTTAATGGATTTGGGTAGAGAGAAATCCTGATTATTATAGCATCTTTCTCACAGTATTAATCACCACAGCTGACCCTACATCTAAATATAACCCCAAAATGAAGTTATTCAGATTACATTTTATTTTGCCAGAGGCATAGAATTTTGAAAGTATGCTTTTCTCTTCCATCTCTTCCTTGTTACTATTACTAAGTAATTATGTGAGTCAAAATTGCTGTAAGTCAATTTTTCTTTTTTTATCCTCACCTGAGGATATTTTATTATTATTATTATTATTGATTTTAGAGAGAGGGGAAGAAGAGAGAGAGAGAGAGAGAGAGAGAGAGAGAGATGAATGTGAGAGAGAAACATCAATCGGTTTCTTCCCATATGTGCCCCAACCAGGGATCAAACCGGCAACGTGTATATGTGCCCTTACTGGAAATTGAACCCACAGCCTTTGGATGAATGGGACGACACTCCAACCAACTGAGTGACCCAGTCAGGGCAAGTCAATTTTTCTACCTCTGAACTAAAGATAATTAAACCTGCCATTAAGAAGTTTTAGGTAAAGAGTATTGGGGATAGAAGAAAGGAGAGGGAAAGAAGGAAGAAAGAAAAGAAGGGAGGGAGGGAAGGAGGGACAGAGGGAGGGAGGGAGGGAGGGAGGAGAGAAGAATTAGGGGAACTGACAGTTATTACCTAAGTACTGGTTATGTTATGCTGATTATTTCTGGGGCTATTGTTTGGTCATCCTGGACTGGTTGCTCCTGATGATGGGCTGCTTCTTGGACTGTTCACTGCAGATTGTGGGTCAGAATTTTATTTTTGTGTGTGATCTAGTCATTGTCTGTGTGCATGTTCTTACTCTTCAACTCGTCTTCAAGGCTTCTCTAGGAAAATATCTGACATCTAAATACCTAAATGTTAGTTGGTGTTGTTACTTTTTTAAGTACGCTTTTTTTTCTACCTTACTACTTATTGACACAGTAATAACATTGACATTGTCCTCACCATCAACTTTCAAAATCATGAACTGAAGTGTCTTTCCAGCTCACTTGTTCAAGAGCCCTTTCCTTGTGACATTAAACCCACCACCATATGCCTTTGTTTGACATACATTAGTACCCTCATTTCATTCCCTTCCTTATGCAACTGAGGTGTGCTGTACTTCATTATAATTAGACTAGAGGCCCAGTGCACGAATTTGTGTATGGGTGGGGTCCGGCCAGCCTGGCCCCAGTTGGGGCAGATTGGGGCCAGGCCTATCAGGAGGAGGAGACGGTGTGAGGTTGGCCGGCTGGCTGGCCATGATTGGGCCAGATCAGGGTCAGGCTGGCTGGAGGGAGTAGCCGTGGGCAATTGGCTGGCAGGCCCCGCCTCTGATTGGGGTGGGGGCGGTTGATCAGGGATCAACGGCTGGGGGAGGGGCCATGGGAGGTTGGCAAGCCATCCCCACCCCCAATTGGTGTGTGTGTGTGGGGGGGGGAGCGGGGACAGAGCTGGCTGGGGGAAGGGGTCACGG